TAAGCTAACGCTTGAACCAAAAAAGCAAAATGGTTGAAATTATGCACGAGCATACCGGCCGAGAGCAAAAGAGTGAAAAGATGCTTGAGCTCGCCGATGAGGGTAGCTAATAAGCTAACACCAAACAAAAAGCAAAATGGTGAAATTATGCCCGAGAGCATACCGGCCGAGAGCAAAAGAGTTTGAAAAGATGCTTGAGCCCTCCGATGAGGGTAGCTAATAAGCTAACACCGAACCAAAAAGCAAAATGACTGAAATTATGCCTGAGCATACCGGCCGAGAGCAAAAGAGCTAAAAAGATGCTTGAGCCCGCCGATGAGGGTAGCTAATAAGCTAACACCCGAACCAAAAAGAAAAATGGCTGAAACTATGCCTGAGCATACCGGTCGTGAACAAAAAAGCTGAAAAGATGCTTGAGCCTGCCGATGAGGGTAGCTGATAGGCCAACACCCGAACCGATCCTAAGATGTTTTTACAACCAGGGAAAGAGCTAGATGCTGCCCACATCTCGAGTTAAGCAAAAAAGCTAAAAAGAAGAAGCTGAAGATACTTGATATCGCTGGTCCTAAGTCTTTTCAGTACTAACAAGAACAAAAAGGTTGTCAAGACAAAGATCTACTTACCCCGAGTTGTTTACACGGCGCAGACGAAAGCCAGACAAGCACTCGACAAATCAAGAAAGTCTGTCAAGACAACGATCTACATATACCGAGTTGTTTACACGGCGCAGACGAAAGCTAGACAAGCACTCGGCAAATCAAGAAAGTTTGTCAACACAACGATCTACATATACCGAGTTGTTTACACGGCGCAGACGAAAGCCAAACAAGCACTTGACAAATCAAGAAGATTTGTCAAGACAACGATCTACATATACCGAGTTGATTACACGACGTAGATAAAAGCTATACAAACGCTCGACCTATCAAGGAGCGATCCTACAACGGATGAAACAACACGACCACCATAAACTGTGGATGCGCACCACGACCAACAAACGACTACTTGGAAAAAATTCTGATCACTTGGATAACTCATTTAAAGAATAAACAAGGCGAAGACATCCAGGCAAATAAGACATCAACAAAAAATAAAGAATCTTCATTAAAAAAGAAGTATAATATCCTATTACAGAGGCTGGAGTACAAAGGTCAATTACATCAAGCATCGTTATCAGGAGAAGAAATATCAATATTAAGATTATCCACAATCCTCCTGGCTAAATCTTTGACCTCAGGCTCCACCTTTTCAATGGCATCCAGATATTCTTCACTCTCAGCTTCCTCTACAATCTTGGACAAAGGGACCTCCGGAGCAAGAACCCGGATCTGGGCAAGAACATTTCTGGTACATAGTTGGGCGCACCTCTTCATGAACTCCTAAAAACGGGTCGGAACTTAGAGAATAAACTGAGCCCAAGATTGACCATCATCTGTTGGAGTCTATCATATTCATGACTACGGAGATTTTAGACCACGCAACAAAATGCTCGATGAATCAAAACAGCACACTAGGAGGGTATTTATAGACCAAAGAAGCGGTGCACATGGACCGGGAGCACCAACGGAACAAATCTAACAAAGGGCACAGTGAAAAGATAGAATTCAATGAAAGAGAACTCAGGCATGAAGAAACAGTACTAAAAAATGAGCATATTCAGAAGAATATACCAACACTGTACAACTCGTGAACAAACAGCATTTACACTCAACTACCACCATACAACTACATCTGACAACAGTAGACTACCAAAGAATAAGTCAAGACCCTGCATCTGAGTTCTTTTTGAATAAAAGAACCTAGATATATGCTCGGGGGCTGCAACAGGAGAGGTTTTCAGTTCTTTAAACAACTCAGATTCAAGACCCTCCAACTCTTTGTTCCAAATAACAAGAGGCTCGGGGGCTACACTTAGTAGCGCACTTTTTTCTTCGAAAAAGCGCACGTCACCAAGAAGACTTCTTCAAGACAGACCACTTCAAGGCCTCACGACAAAAAGAACCCGGACCGAGCTATATCCGTGTTCTTTTTGATAAAGAACCCGGGTATATGCTCGGGATCCCTTCGACGAAGAATCAGAGCAATTTCAAGACAAGACCCTACAGCTACTTGTTCCAAATAGCAAGAGGCTCGGGGGCTACACCCAGACGGGAGTACTTTTTCTTCAAAAAAAAGTACACACCACCCGAAGATCTCACGAAGCGCTACACGGTTTCGTTCAAGAAAGCACTCGGACCACGTTTGTTCCTACTCGACAAGACCTGAAGGAACAAGACGAGGCTTCCAGAACTCAACCATAAAGTGCTCGGGGCTTGTCGATGCGGGACCCATGGGATACCCCTCAAGGAAGGAAGAAGATCTAGTCTAACTAGTATTCTTTCTACGTAATCTTAGTAGTAGTATTATTCTGTAATCCTACTAGAAACTCTCATTGTAAACCGACTAGAACTCTGGCCTCCTGACTACATAAAGGAGAGTGGGGTTCCTGCAGGAAAGGAGAGAGAACACTTTACCATCAATCCAACGTAAAGGCTAACGCCGATTGGACGTAGAGCTATTACTCGATCACGGTCGAGGGCCCAAACCAGGATAAATCGACTGTCTATTGCGTTTACCGTCGAGTTCTGCATACGCCGAAGCCCGAACAAACTGCCCCGGGTACCCCCGTGGCAGGCTATCGGTGGTAAAACATCGACAGCTGTGGTTTGACCATGTCCAAAGGAGACCTCCAGAGGCCCCAGTGCATTATGGAGTCCTAAGCCAAGCTAATAATACGAGTAGAGGTAGAGTAAGACCGAAATTGATATGGGGAAGGTAATAAAAAGATATTTGAAAGTGTGGGATATACCTAGAGGTCTATGTTTGAATATGAGTACTTGAAAAGCAGCTATTGAAGTACCTGAACCGTGACTTATGGCTATTGGTGGGTTTCAACTCTAGCGTACCCTAACTTGCTTGGAACTGAAAGGTGATGTTGTTGTTGTAGTATAAAAGTATATTTCGTGTTGAAATCTAATAACACTTGTTATTCATAATGAATAATATTCCTTATTTAGATTTGTTTCAATTTTAAAAGGTTTAACTCCTCGAATTTGATTTGTGTTTATTTTGGGAGAGATTACTCCGATGGAGGCTATATTGGGTTGCCCTCAGACATGTTTGTATTGATAATAATAAGGATTCTTACTAAAATCTAGTAACCCATGTTACCTATTCCGAAAATTTGTATGTTATAGAATACTTTTAGAATTCTATTTTATTTGGACTGAATTATGAGAGTCCAGTGTTTTTTCTATTGGATTCTTGGAATCCGCTAAGATCAAAGGTGCCTCACATCTTCTGAACCTTTTTCCGTTCGGTGCAAACAAAACATGTGCGCGGGGTGCGTCGGATGTGTCAGTCTTGGCTGGAGCCACGTAGGCTTTCATCTTTTTCGGTGGAGAAAAGACCGCAAACCTGTGTACCAAATCGCGGGAAAAAGAGAAGAACTTAGAAAGTAGTAAAAGATGTGCGAATGTCATAATCTGTCTAATCCAAAATCCCTAATACCTGAATTGGGTTTCCACACATTTATCATGCCTGGTAGACCAGCAACTTTGTGCCGCTTGATGGTGCCTGGCGCGCTGTACTGCCGTTGCAATACGTGCCCGTAGAGCCGCGCGGCTTTTTGACGGTTTCAGTTTGGCAACAGTACTGTACTGCTACTGCGTTCAGGCAACCTGCACAAAAAAATTTCGGATAAGATGACACTATGTCAGCATGTGCATGTGTGTGGCCGTCTCTGTCCACCGATCTACCGAGTCCGATCCATGATCTCGCAGGCTGTAGCCACAGGATCGACGGCTGCCCGGCCTGCAGCTTTCGGAGTGCTGGGGATCGTGTCTGGCCCTGGCCATGTTAAACACTAATCACTCACTCGTGCTTGAGAATGATTGATCCCGCGCGCCCATCAGCCCATGTGGGGAAGGGAACTTCATCCTGGCTCTCCTCAGCTCTACTAGCTGCTGTGTTCCCCTCATGCAACGGGCAATTCCGGGCATGTGCTCGCTTGCCAACAACAGATTCGCACAAATGTTTGCGTCGGGCACTGAAGGGAAGCTGGTTGCTGTCGTTGTCGTCGTCGAATCTAATGACCCTGGCCGTCCTTGATTATTCCAAGCGTGAATCTTATATCAGACATACTACGAATACATGGTGCCGTACTCCACCTCTGTTATTCCCGCGGAAATAACTGCCCCGCCGGCCGCCGCGTCTGCCGTGCCTTGCGAGGAAGGAGAAACGGCGCCAGTATTTTTCCAGCCCCTATCGATTCCGCTAGCGAAGATTTTCCGTGGACGATGGGAAAATCTCAAAATCCAGATCGGTGAAACGAGCACGCACACCACGCAACCAAAACCCGCACGGGCACAGCTTCGTCCGCGCGGACTTTTCTTTTCCTGCTCAGCTCAGCTTCCCCGTTTCTTCCCGCGTCAATAACCAACTCCATCATTTCCCGTCCCGCACCGCACGTCCGCACCCTCTATAAAACCGAGTACCGGACGAGGAGGCAATACCAACTCCGATCGGTGGCTCGCCGGCGTCGAGATATTTTGGAGCCATACCATCGCCGACCACGTGTGACGCCGCGCACGGAGCCGGAGCGAAGCGTGGTGGGACTGGTTACTGGTAGCAGCCCCCACACGCGGACAAAACAGTAAGTCGGCGAGGGGGGCTGGGCCCGGTGCCGACTTTGGTTGGGGAGGCTGACATCAGGGTCCCAGTGACCGAGGGTCCAGGGTGGCCAGATACAACTCCCCTGCCTTCCCTTCGTCTCTTGGGTTGCGCCGAGAGCCTGCGACTCCTCCTCCTATATAAGGTCAAGTAGCCGTAAAAGATCGGTCGTCCCCCTCCCATCCTGTTGCAGCCCATTACAGGAAAGGCAGCGGAAGTCGGCAGAGTGAACCGGAGATCTTGGAGCTAAGGCCTTGTGCGTGCCACATTACACACTGTGACAGATCGAGATGGCGCGGTGCCCAGCTCATGTCGCTCTCTGCTCACTTGCTCTGCTCCTCCTGCTTCCAGGTGAGTTCTCTCTGCTCTGCTTTGTTCCCGTTCGTTCGCATTGAGCAATGCATGCTGTTTCGTGACCTGTGCTGATTAATTGAACTGATCTCTGATCTGCGGTGCTTTGCAGCTGCGCGGTCGGCGACGTTCATGATGACCAACAACTGCGGCTACACGGTGTGGCCGGGGCTGCTGTCCGGCGCCGGCACGGCTCCGCTCTCCACGACGGGGTTCGCGCTGGCGCACGGCGCGTCCGCGACGGTGGACGCCCCCGCGAGCTGGTCGGGGCGGATGTGGGCGCGCACGCTCTGCGCCACGGACGCCGCCACCGGCAAGTTTACTTGCGCCACGGGCGACTGTGGCTCGGGCAGTGTCCAGTGCAACGGCGCCGGCGCCGCTCCGCCCGCCACGCTGGCGGAGTTCACGCTTGATGGCTCCGGCGGCCTGGACTTCTTCGACGTCAGCCTCGTGGACGGTTACAACATCCCGATGCTCATTGTTCCGCAGGGCGCGGGCGGCAGCGGCGGCAATGGGTCCGCTGACTCCGGCAAGTGCATGGCCACCGGCTGCCTTGTGGATCTCAATGGTGCATGCCCGGCCGATTTGAGGGTCATGGCCACGTCGACGTCCGGCGCCGGCGGGGCCGTGGCGTGCCGTAGCGCGTGTGAGGCGTTCGGGACGCCGCAGTACTGCTGCAGCGGCGCGTATGGGAATCCCAACACGTGCCGGCCGTCGACGTACTCGCAGTTCTTCAAGAACGCTTGCCCGCGCGCCTACAGCTACGCCTACGACGACTCCACCTCCACCTTCACGTGCGCCACCGGCATCAGCTACGCCATCACCTTCTGCCCGAGCACCACGAGGTAATTTCTTTCCCGAAATGAAGGTTTCCTGATTCAAGATTCACCACGTTTAATTAAGCTCCCAAGGTTACTGTTTCTCTAAAATGGCGCGAAATGCACGGTCCAACTGTTTGTGTTTAGTTTAGATGACCTGGCCGTGATGGCGATAGAGTGACCAATCTACGCAGAAGTCTTGGCATGGACGATACGTGAAGTTTTCGTATAAGTAGCAATCTTATCTTTGACTTCTTGATTGAAATCAGTTTCTTGCTGAATTCAACAAGAGTACAAGACGTTGGTTGGGGCTTGATAGGGCTGGTAGGAAATCAGCCTCACACGCGAACAGAACGCCTAGTATTTCGGATGGGAAATTGGCTTGCTTGAGAGCTGAGACACCACACTGGCCCGGGCAATTAACAGTTGACACAGTGTCACAGTCCACACCACTAATGTGATGTTGATGTCTGATGAGCACCTTTTTTTCTAACTGCTCTCTCTGACCGAAGCTGTGCTGCTTGACATCGGCTACTTGTGCCTGTCAGAAAAAGTGTATAGCCGTTGATGATTCCGACGAGTCGACGACGAGGAGAGGGCGAGAGGCGGTAACGGACGATCCAACGGCTAATAGACAGTACTGTAACGTCAACGGCTATGGATCCACGGCCTAGAGTCCTGGGCCCTGGACGGGGCGGGGTCACTTCTTCTGTCCGCACACTCATGTCAGGCCAACGAGCCGCTGAAACGCAGCACTGTCCTGGACTGGCTTCTAGCCGTTTCACCCGTACGGTCCCCATAGCCATACTAGGCCATTGATTCGCCTTGTCCTGTCCTGCGCCCCCAACTGCATCCCACGTTCCCACGCTCAGAGGAGCCCGCCGCAGCCTGCTACCGCAGCGAGCGTTTTGGCCGCCACGGAACAGTGGCGACCGCATCACGAGGCGAGCAACCAGGCAGCAGCCTTTTGTCTGTGGCTGCCTAAAATATCCAAGTACTCGTACCACTGTCCCGGACAAAAGATCTCGCATGCTCACGTACAACTGCTAGTAATCAATCTTCTTCAATTCTTGTACTGGCATGTTAAATTCTTGTACTGTCATGATGTTAAGAAGAGCTTCACTGTGGCACTGTAATTTTGTGTTGTACCATGTGCTAACCGTGACCTGCTTGTTTGTTACTGTGTGTGTAGCGGGAAGTACTCCGGCGAGAACCCGCAGGCCGCGGGCGTGCAGCCCACGAACGGCTCCATGGCCTACCTCGGCGGCGAGCAGCTCGCCACCGGCGCCGCCTCCGTCAAGGCGGCCCGTGCGTCGCAGCTCCTCCTAGCCGCCCTCGCCGCCGTCGCGCTGCTCTGAGCTTGCCGACATCGCCGTGTGAAAATGGCGGCAGGAGTCATCGTTGTACAGCAGCTAGCTAGCGCACCCGCTGGCCTCTTTGTCCTTATCAGCCACGCCTCTTCCGGCTGCACGGGGGCAGCGATAAGATACCATGAGACCAAAGGGCAAAAGGCTGACGAGTGACGACAGTGCTGCTACGGCTGACGAGTGAGAAAACAACGATATCTCTGCGCACCGGATGCCGGATGGTGTATCGTTCTATACTTTCTAGGTAGCTTATCTCGTAGGGTTTAGGATAACTGGTAGCATGTGTTAACCTCTGCATTCTTCTCCACGCTTCCTCGATCTGTTGAGCCGAAACGATGTATTCTACTATCCATCGTTGTTCGCGGTGCTATAGATTATTACAGCAATGATGATTATTTAAACTTTACCTGTTGAACATAGTGGAAGAGGACGAAAGGTTCAATTCAATGTTCATAGAAAGCTACGTTTCCTTGACTTCTCGTCGCACACTCGCATGGCAGGTCTTCACGGGCGCGATGACATTCACCGGGGCATGTGCAATTCTGCATCAGTGACTTCACTGTTCGTGCGTCTGTGTCCTAATAAACCTAGGAGCAGTAGGCTGCAGGTCTTGTCGTCTTTGTTGAAAAAACTGGGCATGGCCCATAGGAGTTTTCACCTTATTCCAAGTAAACCTTTAGAATAATGAAATATTCAGCCTCACCTTATTTATAGAAGGTGACATGTTTAGTGTCTGTTTGGCTGGTTACCTTAGCCTGCCGCACCGCAATTATGGCCACACCGCGAGTTTGGCGACCAAATAGTTCGCCAGATCACTACAGTCAAGCTTGATAAATTGCTGCACACCAAAGCTACGCGCATACGAACCAAACGACAGCCCCAGTGAGTCAATGCGCCAGACTGTAGGTGTGGTAAGTTCTGGCTACATATATACCAAACAAACCCTTAAATATGAAAGTAATCTACTCTACTCTAGTGAGTTATATATGGGGAAAGGAAGGGAACACCACACGTTTTTATCTCGCTGGGGCAAAGGGTAAAGGGCGTGAATGATCTGTTAAAATTTAGCCCGTGGAAGATAGCGTGGTCTCCCTTTTACGGTTTTATTTTTTTTGGTTGTTTGACCTTTAAACACGCGAATTAAAAATCTAGTCGGTCTAGGTTATGATTGTGACACGAGATCATACGGTTCCTCCTATGTATACGACCTATCGGTATCGGTTGCTGCTAGAAACCAATCTATTCGAGTTAGCGTTTTGCCTCTTTTCACCGCTGGTTTGTTGTCATATATGTTGGTTTGATCTCCCAACCACAGTGGCCCAACGGCCACTTGGGTCTTGACCTCGCGTCCTGATCGGGGGCGCCCAGTCCATCTATGGCTAGTGGGCCCCCGTCACACTGCGCATTAAATAGAGGTGGGGTCAGCGGCTCTCTGTACGAGGTTCGCCTGAGCCGTACGTCCCATCTAGAAACCCTACTCCGATCTAACAGAGGGGCGCAGCCAATGACGGGAAGCACCGCCGCCGCCACTGCATTGCGCCACCACGGTCTTCACTGCGTCGCTCTCTCTTCTCCGAACGTCGCTGCCTAGCGCAGAACTTCACCGATGAACCTGATGGCCGGATCCCCTACTCAATGGATGGTCAGTACCTAACCCTAGCTCTTCCTCTCCCTCTCTGTCTCTCTCAGTTCACACCATTACTACGAGAAACCCAATGAAACCCCACTGGATCCACTCCTAGATGATCCAAAAAGTCCTAACAATGGTATCAGAGACATGTTTAGTATGTGGAGCTGGATCGGGGAAAGAAAAGCAAATCGAACCCTAACCCTAGATCGGGTACGAGAAAAGTGGGGATGAGATTGAAACACGGTTTCAACAAAGAACCCTAACCCTAGCAGTTCGCCACACTAGGGTGTAGATCTAGGGTTTTCCAAATCAAAAGCAAAGAAAAACGAATGGAAAGAAAGAGTGGAGTTCGAATTTGATTCGGATCCAACAGACCGGAACCCTAACCCTACGAAGAAGCGCGTGGGGAAAAAGAACAGACTCGAACCCTAACTGGGTTAAAGAAGAAGCAGGGCTCGTTTTCATGTCAAAATCGAACCCTAAAACCCGAAATCAATTCGGGAAAAAGAAAGACAGTGCTCATCCCTAACCCTAACCCTAACTCTAATCCCCAAATCGGTAGAATCAGAAACAAAAGAGAACAAGAATCAAAGAAGGGGAAAAGGAAAAGAGAACCTCGCCATCGTAAAGACCGGCGCGCGGGGAAAAGAACGCCGAGCGGGGGCACTGCTGGGCTTGTACCTTGTAGACGTGGCCGGGCTCGTCTCGCTCGACCACCATGGTCGTGGAGACCACTCGATTGGTAGCCGCAATGTATAGAAGGAGTGTTTCGTCTTCTCTTGGAGCAGTGAGTACCGGAGGTGACGTAAGGTATTATTTCAGATGTGTGAAGGCAACGTCTGCTTCCTCCGACCACTCAAACTTTTCGGACGCTTTGAGTAGTTTAAAGAATGGTAATCCTTTTTCGCCTAATCTTGATATGAAACGGCCGAGGGCGGCCATACATCCGTAAGCTTCAGAACATCCTTCACCTTTTGGGCGGCTTCATGTCCAAAAAATGCTTTGACCTTTTAAAGGGTTAGGGCGTATGCCGTCGTGACTAACGATGTTGCCGAGGAGTATGCGGAAGGAACACCAAAGATGCACTTCTTTGGGTTTAATTTCCATCGGAATGTGTTAAGGGCGCAAAAAGCGCCCCAAAGTTGTCAACAAGGGTATGAGCTTCCTTGGTTTTGACAACTATATCATCAACGTAAGCCTCGACGCAGGTCATCTTTTATCTCGTCTTTGAGGCAAGCTTGTATAGCAGCGTTGGTAGGTAGCCCCGGCGTTCTTGAGCCCGAACGACATGGTCGTAGTAGCGAGGGCGCCAAAGGGCGTGATAAAAGATGTCTTGATCTGGTCATCCTTTTTAGAGCGATCTGGTGATAACCCGAGTAGCAATCGAGAAAAGAAAGGAGCTCGCAACCGGCGGTTGAATCCACGACCTCGTCTATGCGAGGGTGTCGAAAGGGTCTTTAGGGCGGTGTTTGTTGAGATCGGTGTAATCAACGTACATTCTCCATTCATTATTCTTTTTTGCATACAAGAACCGGGTTGGCTAACCACTCCGGATGATACACTTCTTTGATAAATCCGGCCGCCAAAAGCCGTGTAACTTCTACCCTAATCGCCTCTTTTTGTCGTCGCGAGCGAACCGTCAGTAGCTTCGCTTGGTAGGTTTGGCCTTGCCGTTGACATTCAAGGAGTGCTCAATCAAGTTCCGAGGTACACGGGCATGTCGTGAGGTTTCCATGCGAACACATCCACGTTGCTCCTCAAGAACCTGACGAGCGCGTCTTCCTATTTGGGATCCAGGTTGGCCCCGATAAGGGCCGTCTTGCTGGGATCACCGTCGACCAGCTGGATCACCTTGTGCTCCTTGGACTTGATGTTCTTGCGTGGAGCCTCGAGCTCCGGGATCTCCTGGTGTTCGATCGAGGTCTTCTTGGCGTTGAGCACGGTCTCGGCCATGCGAATAGAGAGGTCGTGAGCCTCTGCTATTTTGAAACTGTCATCTTCATAGGTATAAGCTGCGTACACGTTGCCTCAGAGGGTTAGAACTCCTTTCTCGGTAGCCATCTTGAGCACCAGATACCTGTAATGAGGTATGGCCATGAACTTGGTGAGCGACGGTCGACCAAGAATAGTATGGTAGGTGCTGTCGAAGTCGGCGACCACGAAGTTGACGTAGTCGGTGCGGAAGTGATCCGGAGTCCCAAACTGCACTGGTAGCGTGATCTGCCCGAGAGGTGTAGAGCTCTGTCCGGGGAGAACACCCCAGAACTATGCCTCGTATGGCTTGAGGTCCGCCTGAGCTATCTTTAGGGCGGGCAGACTGTTCTTGAACAGTATATCAATGGAGCTGCCGCCGTCGATCAGTACTCTGTCGAACAAAACTTTGTTGATACAAGGATCGAGGACCAGGGGAAAACGCCCTGGCTCAGGTATTGCGGCCCATTGGTCCTTTCTGCGGAAGGAGATTTCGCGGCGAGACCACGGAGAGAGCCGTGGATCGGTGAGGAGATTGTCGGTGTTGGCCACGTTCAAGCAAGCGCGGGCGAGCAGCTTGCATTCTTGTTTGGTCTCGATGGACACTTTGCCTTCGATGATGGTGTGCACGCGATCGGTTGGCTTGATGTACTTGTGACGGGGGTCTGCATCGTCGTCGTCGTTATCCTCCTCGTGCGCTTGTTGTTTCGTGTCGTTAGGCTTGTCGGACGTATCCGGAGCTTGTTGACGCGTGTAGATAGACTTGAGGACGCGGCAATTCTCCATGGTATGGTTCGACTTAGGATGGAACTGGCAGGGCCCCTTCAATGCCTTGGCGTAGTCGTCTTCATAGTTACGACGTCCGCCACCCTTTTTAACGGTGTTGACCTCGCCGTCGTCTTCCCGAGCACGCTTGCTCCTATAATCGTCACGGCGGTTACGCCGCTGATTACGTTGGTCACGGTGGTCGCAGGACGCGTTGCGCTGGTTGCGGCGGTCAAAATTATCGTTCCGACCATGGTTGCCGCGGTAGTCATCGCGGTGTGGGGGGTGGTCGGAGCGCGGAACCCTTGCTGCTTCTTCAATAATTATCTTTTTAGCGTCGTCGGCGTCCGCGTATTTCTTAGCGGTGGCCAGGAGCACTGTGACCGAATCAGGTCTTTTGCAGAGGAGCTTTTCCCTTAGGGCATCGTGGAAGCGGAGGCTAGTGATGAAAGCCTCGATTGCCTCGTTGTCGGAGATTGATGGGACCTTGATGCGCATCTCCGAAAAACACCGGACGTATTCGCGCAGTGGCTCATCTTTTCAATCTCGAATACATTGCAGATCGTATTTGTTGCCTGGTTGTTCACAAGTAGCAATGAAGTTGTCGATGAAGGCTTGCTTGAGC